CAGACACAGACACACACACACACACACACACACACACACACACTCTCAATTAAAAGACAACCTAGAATCTAAATCCAAGTATTTGCGAAGCTCAAACACAGATCAGCAAAAACCCTTCCAGAAGCAGACATGACAGGAGTCTGGCATACTGTACTTCAGCTGTGAGCAGCAAAAATCACCATCGGCACTCACATCTTAAAAAGAAATATGCAAGAGAGTTACAGATATAATGTGATCGGAGGAGCAGACAGCGGCACAACGCTGATTAAAAATGAATAGATCTGGTCCTGCATGTCGATTAGTGTCCTTAAAAACTCATAAATGCAGTAAGCATGTCTTATGATTCACGACTACATCCACTATATAACACGAGTGATGAAAGTGATTTAATGACAACAGTGATGTGGAAACACACACACACACACTCACACACACACACACACACACACACACACACACACCATGTTCATACACTCCTCATGGTCAAAGCACTGACATTCTGCTTTATGATGTGTAAAGCCAGCACATCTGACAGTCGTGTCATGATTTCATCTAGCATCACTCAGAGGTTTCTCTCTCAGAGCTCACGAGGCTGAATGGAGATCTCAGCTAGTTTTCAATATCGACCTTGTCTCAGATATTTCTCCTCAAATGAACAGGAACAAAAACAGACCCAAATGAGTCACTAGCTGTCATCCAGTAAGGATCCAATCTTTTGGTCGTAAACTCAAATCTGAGCACGATTTGAGACATGGAAGAGAAATGTGAGATTTCTCCGGAGAAACATCTAAGCGAGAGGCTTCAGCAAAAGATCTGATTCTAGGAGAAACGTTTGAGAGCTCATTTGTGATTTCCTTCCCCTGTGGTGGTCTTCCTCATCTGATCCTACCTGATGGGAGCAGCTGTCCTGGTGCACCATCTCTCACTGCATCCTCTAGATCCGCAGAGAAACACGAGTCCCACCCAACACACGAGTAACAGGAGTCCGTCTGTAACCACTCACACCAGCTTCAGCTCTCCAGTCTCGGCACACGGCGAGGGAATGATACGATCGGAGCGCCTGCCACAGACGGGAACGGAGGGTGGGGCACCGGGAGACTCTGGATGCTCCTGGAGCACTGAGAGAGCTTACTCACCGCTGGCCAATCAGAGCGCCGCACACACGGATGGGGGATGGGGGCGGAGCCAGCGACGAGAGAGAGGGAGGAGTGACCTTTCAGAGCGGAGCGGGGGAGGAGACGTCCCATGGATTGAGAGAGGGAGAGGGAGGGATGAAAGGAAAGAGTGAAGAAAAGCAGTGGGAGGAG